GGATACAGACACATGCAGGCATACAGACACATGCAGGGATACAGACACATGCAGTCATACAGACACATGCAGTCATACAGACACATGCAGGGATACAGACACATGCAGGCATACAGACACATGCAGGCATACAGACACATGCAGGGATACAGACACATGCAGGCATACAGACACATGCAGGCATACAGACACATGCAGGCATACAGACACATGCAGGCATACAGACACATGCAGGCATACAGACACATGCAGGGATACAGACACATGCAGGGATACAGACACGTGCAGGCATACAGACACATGCAGTCATACAGACACATGCAGTCATACAGACACATGCAGGCATACAGACACATGCAGGGATACAGACACATGCAGGGATACAGACACATGCAGGCATACAGACACATGCAGGCATACAGACACATGCAGTCATACAGACACATGCAGGCATACAGACACATGCAGGCATACAGACACATGCAGGCATACAGACACATGCAGGCATACAGACACATACAGGCATACAGACCCATCAGACACACAGAAGTACAAGCAGAGGCAGCACAGGGGGGTGCGGGGTGTCAGCCAATATCAACAGAGACCAGGAGAGTGGTGGTGGGTTTTACATAAGTGTTCAACAGGGATATTTACCTTGACTATAGTGGCTTTACCTTCTAATGCATTGTGCTCTAATAACTTAACGCTGCGAAAACAAGTATGTTAATTAGTAACAATACTGACCTACTAACACCACCCACAAGGGGAGGGGTATGAGATACATAATAGGTGAACTAAACTTGAAACTATTGAAAGTACCCAACCATGGTAACCAGGTGTACACGTCACATCACCGGAAGGTCCCCAGCATGGTAACTTAACGCCATAAAGGTGTTTAATTTAATATTTCACATACAACATAAGTCAGTCATATAAGATATTTGAGGGCGCCAGACAATCGCCTCTTAGCAATTAAGAAGTCACACATCTAGAGTGTTAAATACCAACAGGTCAGGTCGGGTGAAGTGACGTTGCTTTCTGCTAAGCCGATAATTGCAACCGGTTGGTGGTGTCTTTCCATCAAAAGAGCCGCTGTCTAGGGTTTTAGGTAGAGAGCCTGAGGCTTACTTGGAAGGTGGAGCCTAGCTCCCGTTTCCCCCATAAATACCCATGGAATTGTACACACACACGCAGAGGGATTGAAGATTGAGCAGGAGCGAGAGTTAAGTGACTGGCAAGAGGTTCTAGTCGCCAGACTCGACTCCTCAGGCCAGAGGGGAACTCTGTCTATCAATCGTAGCCCCCCTCCCCCCCTCCTTCCCTCTCTATGCAACTTAGTTCCAGAGACTTTGGTGAATAAACTTTAAGGTGACGTATTTGGTGTGTTTCCAACTTAAGGTGTTGTGTGATTTTCAGGGACAGTCAGCCATAGTGTGCTCATATTCTTGTGTGGTGACTCACCTTGTTTATTAATCTTGACATAGTGAACATAAAGTTTAACTGCTTGAATTATAATATTATGATATAATACTAAATATATAATTGATTAACTTATGCTTGTAAATTGTCTTTAATTCGGTTCCCTAAAACTTCTTATCTTGAAAGCTAGAGTGGAGAGCCCTCTGAGCTTACTGACTTAAAGATTCCTTCATGTACAAGTACATGCTTCCAGTTCATACATAAACACCTTTGATAATATTTTTGTACAGACAAGTTCCATTCCTTGTCTTGTATATGATTTACCAGAATGGATGGTGTCAGCAACTTTCATCTTTAACCTTTTCTACTTCTACATTCTCTACTTCTACTTCTACATTTTCTACTTCTATTTTCTACTTTTTCTACTTCTACATTCTCTACTTTCCTCGTTGATCTCAAGTTCAAGTTCAAGTATGTTTATTGAGACAAGAAAAAATACATCTCAAAAAGATAGAGTAGCTTAGGCTATTTCTAGCCCCTTTACTTCAAGTCCCTCAAGGGGCGCACAAATTCAGTGAGTACAAATACACAAATCACAATACAAGAATCCCATTTAACATTGCAGGTTAAAATAGGAAGCACAGCATATAAGTGTTACACTCTTGGGGCAAAATTCTTGTAGCTCCTAAGTATACTGTCTATCATACCATTATCACACATCCAAACAATTTGATGTGGTACACTACTTATTTCCTTATTTCTGTAGTTTTCAATAAGTTGACACTCTAATACATAATGTTCTAAGGTGTGGGCGTGCGGCATACTACATAATTTACACTCCTTATCTTTTTCACTGACATCAACATCGTATTGCCAGATATATTTGTATCCTAATCTTAATCTCATGTAAATTGAATCCTTCCAAGTAGACTTCCTCTTCCATAGGTGAAGGAAGAATTTGTATTTGACCCCTGAAAATTATCCTCACACCTCCCTTCCACCTCTATACCTCCCCACACACCCATGAGATTATTCAGTTTTCATTTCTTTTCATTCGTTTTCCGATACGTTGCAATAACCAGGTGTACACGTCACATCACCGGAAGGGACCCGAGCTACACCCCATCACCGGAGGGGCACCTACCATGGTAACCAGGTGTACACGTCACATCACTGGAGGGGCTCTACCATGGTAACCAGGTGTACACGTCACATCACTGGAGGGGCACCTACCATGGTAACCAGGTGTACACGTCACATCACTGGAGGGGACCCGAGCATGGTAACCAGGTGTACACGTCACATCACTGGAGGGGCTCTACAACGCCCCTAAGAAGGGATTTACCGCATAGATATTCTGGGGTCAGCCATCGACCCAGACGTTGCAGGGTGTGCCAAGTCTGATAAGACTCGCTCCAGCGGAGTGAGAGTAGCCAGCACATATCTCATCTTCCACAGTTACTTGATACTTGTTGGCATTTATGAACAACGAAAGCAAGATCGATGCGCACGCACTGAATCAGGAATTTATTTTCCTTCGGAAATGCGTCTATGACAGCAGTTTTTCATCAGTATAAACCCAACATTCTAGGAATAATGTAGATAGATATTTACAGAGACATTAATCCGCAGAAATTGTGTAAGCCTACTAGCCTATACACATTCCCTGATGGGAAGATCATTCGATGTGGCAATTGCATGCAACCTCTTAACACCCCATGCAAATAAACCTGTGCTTCAATGTAAATAATAGGGCTCAGTCTTTGGAACTCACTCCCTGATGAATTAAAAAAATGTCCAACCTATGTCCTGTTCAAAAGTAAAACCAAAAGGTACCTAATTTCATCCTCATAGTTGCCTACCTTGTGCTTCAAATTCACACTGTATCTTGTACTAATCACGTCCCCCAATATTAGTACTTAAGACTAATTAAGTACTTAATCTTTACCAGTGTAATCACCTCTGTCAGTTTATAGTGTTGATATAAAACCTTTCTGCAATGTACCTTTTTCATCTTACATGATATATTAGGATTAGGTATGCGTGTTTGATATATTAGGATTAGGTATGCGTGTTTGATATATTAGGATTAGGTATGCGTGTTTGTGGTTTACAAGAATATAAAAATATCACACTAATGTAATCTCACCAACCCATTGTACCAAGGCACTGCGGGCTCACCATAGCCCGTGCTACTTGGAACTTTGTCCCAGGTAGCGAATCTTTAACAACAACAACAACCATTGTACCTTCTTGTAAATAAAATATCATTATTATTATTATTATTATTATTATTATTATTATTATTAAGACCACATGATGACATTTATACTACTAACATATTGAAGCTGTTGTCAGTATGCCATCTGATTTGTTAATTGAATCTGTATTAATATCCTCCAACTTGTTCATTATTTTAAATGTTTCAATGAGATCAGCCGTTTCATGTCTGCTGTGCTGTATTGTTAGTCCCGTACTGGCCCTCAAACGTTCCTGGTATGAGAGTCGAACACAGTTCTGGAATTATTTTTGTCGTTCTGCGTTGAACTTTATCCAAGGTAGGTATGTCCTTCCGAAGATGAGGTCTCCATGCTTGGGTACAGTAGTCTAAGTGGGGCGCGCCAGAGATTTGTAATATATATATATATAATATAGTGTAATATACTGTGATGTGAGAAGACTAAAGTGGGCCGGGGTCTCAGTATTTAATTTTGCATAGTATAACGACTTACTAGGATGAATTTTTGCTTTATTTATTTATTTATTTATTCAGAAGAATTTACATAAAGTGTATAAATTTTGGGATGGTTTCCCGTTGAAGATTACAAATCATTCACATTGGTACAGATGGTAACTGCATTATTTAGTTGATGTGGATAAAGTGATGAAATAAGTTCAGGAACATTTATTTATTTATTTATGTATATTTTTTATTTAAATATATACAAGAAGTATTACATTGGGTCATGAGAGTACACAGCATTGATGATTTTACATTCTTGTAAAGCCACTAGCACGCATAGCGTTTCGGACAAGGGACATTCTAACACAGTCGCTAACACTGCGTTCCAGACGTCATACTATTATATAAGATCGTTTAGAACAAATGGGGGGGGGACCTTTGACAAGCCACCGGCTTCATGTCCTTGTCGAAGCCATTAGATTGTATGTGGCCCTCAGGTAAATTCAGATTATATTTGTTAAAAGACAAACGCAACTTATTAGAGTATTATTAACTGTTGTTTATGACAAAACTATATACAATAAGTAACTAAAAATAAAAGCTGTAAACGGTTGCTGTAAATAAAGGCTAATCAATAAATAAAAGTAATTTAAACTTCATACTTTTTTACATAAATAATCTTAGGCTCGTAGTTTGCAGATAAACAGCATGGTTGCGTCCAAAAAATTAGTAACTGAAAGTTAAATTTGTGTGTCATCAAAAATGTAAATCACGATAAGTAATTTGATTATCCTGCTACATAGCGAACAATTCTAAAAAATAAAGATAGACTGTACAGTTTGTGAAGGGTGAGAGAGGCGAAAGCTGGGGAGGTGGTGAGTCACGCCGGGGTGGAGTATTATCCGCCGGCCATGAACCGGGTTAGGGTGTTGACCGTCTCAACGTAATCTGCTCAACTTTTACCTTGTAATTTGGTATTGTTTTCTGCTCTTTTTTAACTTGTTGGCTCTCCAACACAATGCATGTGCCTCAGGGAACGCCTAGTGCTGTTTTTAGGGGTAAATATTGGAAACATTCAGAGAACGAATGAGATTCAAATTACTAACTCTTAGGACAAGGTTCGTGTTTATTTGTGTTTTGTTGTAAGAATATTATATTTAATTGGGATCATGTGTGCTGTTTTAGGACAGGGAACCGTGTACCGTTGGTTTTAAAACTAACAATAATGTAAGAAACTTTTTAACATTAAACCTCCAAAAAGAGAGACATCAGATATGGAAACATTGTATTTATAGCGAATGAAATGAAGCAAAATTTAGGGGTGCAACTTAGTTGACAGTTTGTTTAACTTAAAATTAGGAAATTGATAAAATATGTTATAATATTTGGTGTGACATTTGTTTTGCTTATGAGGAAAGGTGAACCACATCAGAGAATGCACATCACCTCTGATAAATAGTTGTTGAAGAATCTTTATAACAAACCATCAGGTAATCTAAGGTAGTTGCCTCGGAAACTGCAGCAATGTCTCCATTGCCCAACTCCTGTTCATGTGTGCAGAAAATGGCTGGCACTGATTTTTTGTGGCTAGTTTGGTGGCTTGCGATTAGAGAATATGATGATACCAAATTTATGCACTTTTGGTAATTAGGTTTATTTTAAGAGTGAAAAAAGCTACATGCAGCAATTAGGCTTATTTAACCTATTATAAAGAAAATACCTCTGGCTGGAAGAAGGGGACCCTTAGCCTTGGAGGAAAGCACACGTAACGCATTAGAAGGGATGTTTAGATCCCCTCCACCTATTATTATTATTAGTGGTTAGCTGTTAACCTTATGTCCAAAATTTATGTGCTGTACTAGTAAATTAAGACTATACCATTTTTTTTTTTTTTTTACATAATAAGAACAGACTAATCATCAAACCTTAATCTCTTAATCTTAATCAAACCTCTACCATATTTTATATGACAATTACAGGTCACTGGAATATATATTGCCAATAAGTATAAGAAGTATAGGTAATGAATACTATACTCTATATATGTTGTATTTATATATATTTATTTTGAAACAAAATTAAATGTGATATGTAATACAATACGAGTCATTTATTCCAAGAAAGAATTACATGTGTTCCCCCTAAAAAGGGCATTTCTTAAGTATCATCTCATCTGTAACATGATTTGATTTTCATAATCTTTGTTTACTGCTTACAGATATTGATAATAATGGAAATAGTGCTTGATATGTTCCTTCTCTTTGATTAGTGTGGACATGAAATGACCAAATACAAAAATTATATTTATTTTTTAACCACATTCAGTTCCTGACTTACTCTACTCTCAACTTCAATAACACAAATTCCTCTTTATATCAGTCACACATCGCAGGTGTTTAAACAATTTAAACTGATTAACCACTTCTAGCACTTCATTCATATCTATTTCACAGAATGAATTGTTTTCTCTTTCCTCAACAATAACTTCCTGGTGTTCACATTAATTTTTCAATAATTTCTCATATATACCAATGATATTTTATGCAAAGGCAACTATCATCCACATACATCACTTTCAACTTAAAATACTCATATTAGGCATTTATATAAGGTTTACATAATTTTCTAATATTTTAATCTTGACCTACCTAATGTTCCCAACCATGTTATAGGCTTCCCTATGTTGACCAGTCAGGGCTATTTGAACTAAAATGTCTGTTGGAAATATGCAGAAGAAAGCTTCCTCAAATAATATTGACAAATTTAACTCAAGACTTAAATAATATATTAGCATCATAAACTTGATATTTCTCAGAATATTTCTTGTTTAAATGTATTTCAATTAAATTTAATTTTTGTAGCTGCACTCATGGAGATTCAATATATTTTTTGTTTATACATTCTGTTTAATGAATAACTCATAGACCTGGGTCTGATACCCAAATGTTCAAGAATTGGTAAAATTTTCCATTACTGCCTTGGTCACTTAGATAATATACAAATTAGATGAATTGCCATTTAATTTTGAAGATGATATATTTTGACAAACTGCTTTGTGATATGTTGGATTTCTTGTTCTAGTGAAATGCTAACATGTGATATTATACAGGGGCAGTTGGAAATTTTACAGTTGATGCTGAATCATTATAGTAGTAGTAACCCCATCTATTGTTAAACATTTAGTAGGTTGTAATCCAAGTAACCTTAGGTTTTTTGGTTAGGGTCTACTTAACATACCCTTTAACCTTGCACTGCTCACCTATTTTCGGCAAAAACGTTTGGTGCAATTGACAAGGACATATTTTATTTTTACAAATGTTCAGGTAAATTTAATGTCAAAATGTTTCCAAAGTCAAATATTTCCATTTCAAAACACAAATAGTAATGAAAACATTAAAAAACATTAAAATATAGCCAAATTAAAAAACAAAAAGCACAACTCTCTGAGCGCCTAAAGGCGCTTTGCGCAGTGCAGTGGTTAACCTGCTATTTTTGTTTTTTTTTACAGAATGTTAGGAGCCACGTCAAAACTCAGGTCTGTAGCTATAACATTTTTTAGTTTATTAAGAGAAACATATAGAGTACATGCACTGTGTAACTGATCTGTGCCATACTATGCCACCCTCATAACATAAAATCACTTAATTTTCTTTTTCATATCCATAACATGGACAAAATTAAATGTGAGGATAATGTATAAACAATATTTATACAGTACATAGCCTTTTATAACATTAGCTTGTGAGTTAATTTGCAAACATTAAAAGTAGTTTACTTATTTCTTCTGCTGCTGAAGTTGCTTTTTTGTACAACTTAATAAAACTAAATTAGTTAATAATTTAGCTTCTAAGACACTTGCTTAGACAGTAGTTACCATTTTTTTAATAAAGTTGAGTTCAGTTCACATATTATAAGCCCCATTCCCATCCATGTGAGTGAGAGTAGACCCCCCCATAACCAACCGGGCTGTGGTGCCTATGTGGGCCTGCGGGCTGCTCCAAGCAACAGACTGTTGGACCAAGCTCTAACAAGTCAACCTGTGAGTAGAGCTCATAAGTAGGGGAGTAGAAAAACTCCCAGAACCCCCATTCAGCAGGTATCCAGCAGGTATCTGTCCTGTGAGTAGTAGTGTACCCCATACCCATCCTATGAGTGGAAGTGGAAGAGGTTATAGAGGTATGCAATGGTCTCAGGAACTGAACTCTAATATTTTTTTTACATTAAAAAGTTACAGATATGAACTAATCATAGAGCTTAACATATTTATTAAGAGTGTTCACAATTTGTCAAACTAACATCATCATTACACAACTTGTGGAATATTTTTTATTTTGCTATTTATGGATCCCATACCCATTCTCTGTGTGAAAGGAAGAAAGGTTTTAGTGACACATAATGAGTTCAGGTACTGGACACCAATGATCTAAACAGTTTACATTTGTGGCAAATTATTTACAATTTAAATTTGCCTATCTTGCATCCTCACACCCATCAAGTGGGTGATGGTGGAAAGATTCAGATACATGCTATCCTTACAATAGGCAAACTTAAGATACTTTGCTAATTCCCATAGGGCAATTAAAGGGTTTCGGTAAAAAAGTTTGTTAAATCATTTGTCGATAAATTATTTGCAGTATATCCAGAAGTATGGATGAGTGGGAGCAGTACTTTGCTGAGAACCCAGCACCCCGTGGGTATGACATCAATTGTGCTCAGCTAGAAGCCTTTTGTCAGGTGCATGTCAACAGGAACCCAATTGCACTTGTAACTTCTGGGGGCACAACAGTCCCTTTTGAAAGAAACACTGTCAGGTATGGAAAATAACACTAGTATGCTGTGTATAATGTAATTATTGAATTAAATGGCTAATTACATATTAAGTACAGTACAGTAGCTGTTAAATCTAAACTGTATTTTGATATTAATTAAAACAAAAAAGCGTTGGCAAAATATAACATTTTGATGTAATATAAGCATTGCTTAATACGCTGATATATAAGTTATAGGTGTTATTGTCTTCAAATCACTTCTAAGAAGTCAGAAATAAATTTAGAGTGGACATAGAGGTTAGTAGATCTAGAGGCATTCCATCTTGGAATTTATTTTGTGTCTGTTACTGTATATACACTCATACCAAGAAAAAATTAATAGTCAGCTATTCATGATCCTTTGCTTTTTCATCTACTGATCTCATAAACAAAATTTTGCTGGCTGATTACCACCATGAGTCAGATCATTTTACTTAGCTCATAGTCTTTTATTAGAGTCCATTATAAGGTTTTACAGGTTATGTGATTAAATAACAAAATATTAAATATATAAAATGCAAGTCTGGAAATTATGTAAAAAAAAAATTGCATTTATAATCAATTTAAAATACAGACAAATATTTCAAAACAAAAATGAATTACTGTATACTAATATACTGGCTGGACAAATACTGTGCATAGGTATAACTAAGTATACATCATAGAAAGTAGATAAAAATTTGGCAGATATTATGAAATGCAATTATTGTAAGCATTTTGAAGCACAAATATTCTTGTATGACTTTATATCTGCAGGTTTGTAGACAATTTCAGTGCTGGGACTCGGGGAGCAGCCTCCACAGAGTATTTTTTAGCACATGGCTATGCTATTATCTTCCTTCATCGGGACAAGTCAGTTACACCATTCCTTCGCCACCTTGATCCACGGTTTCTCTTAGATGCTCTCCAAGAAGTGCCAGGGGGAGTTTTGCAGCTGTCATCGATACACTCTTCACAGGTAAGATTGTTGTTTGTGTGTATGATTTTCTTTCATTATACAGTACAATATTGTATTCGAGCTGTTCCATAATTCCCCAGTTACTATTGGTGCTAGCCACAGCAGACCTTCATAGTCAAAACACAATATACCTCATGTTCACAGAAGAGATTTCAGTTTATTACTTGACAGTGTAAAGCAACAGCTTTCCAGTTTAGAAGAAGTAGAGTTCCTTTGGTGTTAATATGATTGTTTTGGGATGATTTAAACTGTAACAAATAATCCCTCCCACCTTAAGTAGTTTTTGGAGCAGTGAGGAATGTCAGTCTGCTTAGTATGAAGTCTATAGTACTTGGTTGCATATAGTAATCCAAATAAAAATTGAGTAATGGAACTTCCTTTCTAGGTCAGCCTCAGCAGCTGATCCTAGAAAGGGACAAGGCTCTTTGCAACATCTCTCTGAACCTGGTATTTGCTTAATGTTACTGATCCTTGTCTGTCTTGTGTGGCATTGGCCTGGGCTTTTTGGCCCTCAGTCTCTTTCTCAACTTAGTTACGGCTGTCTCTCCTCCTCCCAAATAAGTACCTTTTTAGCTGTTTCTCTGTGGTGAGTTAGTTTCAGGAAGCTCCTCTGAGAGCCCTTTGGTTGAATGTGATGAAATACCTCTTTCTGGTAAAACCCTGGTGGTTCCCTGACTCCCTCATCCCAACTTTCTTCCTCACAGCCCATGTATCTCTAGTTAGTTCCATGCTTGGCACTTGTTCAGAGACCAAAGGTTTCTGATAATTTTGAGCTTGACTGCTTCTCAGGGGTCAGTAGTAACACTGTGTTTACCTGCACTATTAAGTTAGGTAGTTGCACATAGTCCCAAATCAACTATCCATCATTCTTTCAGGATTATACCATAATTATGAGCCAATACAAGTAAGCCAATATGAGTATTGGCTCATAAGCACCCTATGGCAGGGAAGTGCTTATGAGCCAACCCATTCTTGGGGTCAACACCATAATGTTATCCCTTGGTTGACATGTTTAACTCTTTCTAAGATATGCCTAATTGTCAGAATATTTATAAAAAGAAAAACCCCAGCATTGAATGTAATGAAACGCCATTTTCTGGGTGAGACCCGGAGGCTTCCCGGAGCTATCCGGGTCTCCCCCAGAAAAATGTATAAAAGGCTTAAAAATTTATACATTTTCTAGGTCCACCCAATTTGGCAAGACTATCAGCGTGTAAAATCAGAGAGCCGAATTCTGTGGTTGAATTTCACAACACTCTCTGACTATTTGTGGCTCTTGCGTGCAGCCACTCAGTGTTTACAACAGCGAGCACCGAAGGCCCTTTTGTACCTTGCTGCTGCAGTGTCAGATTTCTACATTCCACAAGGTAGGGTTTCAAAACTTTTACAGTGAATTTATATTATCAATACTGTAGTTATATTTATAATAATTACATGAACTGCATAAGCTTAATCCATACATTTATGAATTGATTCTTTTGACTTAAGATCTTTACTAATTGTAACTCCAAGATCTTTATTGCATTCAAACTTTGAAATTTCAACATTGTCCATATGATATTTTGTAAACCACTTATTATTACCTACTTCCATATAGACACTGATGGGAATTATTTTCATATACGTATTGCTAATCATTGTTTGCAGAGCCATTTCCACCAATGCATATTAAACTTTTTGTATGCATAACATACTACACTGTATATAAACTAGGAAGAGGCATAGTGTGATAACATTGCACATAACAATTTATAATATAATAAGGTTTTTACCTAGTTGCTTATTGTAACGTTTTAAATGAACATGTACTAGCATACTTATTAAAGGAATAGGAGTGTCTGCTGGCACAAATAATTTTGCACTCTTCCTTTCCTGAAAACAGATAAAATGGCTGAGCACAAAATCCAGTCTGCATCCGGTCCACTCACAGTTACTCTCCAACTAGTCCCTAAGATGTTAAGTCCACTTGTGTCAGTGTGGGGGCCAGAACTCTATGTTGTGTCTTTCAAACTAGAAACAGATGAGAAAAAGCTTATCGAAAAGGCAACAGAATCACTTAGAAAATACAAACATGATTTGGTAATTGGTAATTTGCTGCAAACCCGTCGGGAGGAAGTGACATTTGTGACGGAAAAGGAAAGTAGTCTTCTTAGGTTGATGGAGCACCAGAAAGCTGAAAAAATTGAAATAGAGAAATTAATTGTAGAGGAAGTGGTTAACAGGCATAAAAACTTTATTAAATATTAAATCCTGGAAAATGTCAAGTCAATAAGAGGATTATTTATCAGAAGTATGTACTGTACTGTGTTTAATTAAAAAGAAATGGCAACAGATGCATATCAGACTTGTAGCATTACAATTACAATATACAGAATTTAAGGTAATAATAGATATTCTGTTCAACTCTAGTTTAAATTTGATATATAATTTAAGTATATGGGAAATTTTGGAGTTTAGAATCTATTAAAGCCAGTATACTGTATATTTAATCATTTAAATGATGGTGAATATTTTAGTTTAAGTAATCATAAATATATTTTATTTAGTTCTTGAAATGTAGAAATAATGATGTATAAAAACAATATGTTCATATGTAGTAATGCATATAAAATTAAGCTTTAGATACAGCCATATATATATACCACATACAAGTAGAAAATATACTCAAGTTATGAGTAAAACTTGTTAAAAATTTATGTAACTGTTAATGCATACTAGTGCTGTTGCTGCTTATTGTACAGCAATATTGGACTGATTCTTTTTTTGCTGGAAACTTATCATATTGTAATTAGTGTGTAGGTTTCCACCATAAATTGAGAAACATAGATAAGGCCTGAATTTTATTACTGTGTAATATATTATTGTGATAGTTGCATCATTCATATACAGTAATTGAAAGCTTTGAATTAGCCAAATTGTTTTGTAACTCAAATGGATTTAATTACTCTGTAATAATAACACAGGGTTTTAAAATGACCATGAAGGTCTTGGAAATAACAAGCTTTAGGTTTCACACCATTATATAGTAATAGGCTTCAGTTATGTAAGCACTGCTGTTGAAGAAATGTTTCTTTTGCCATTGATAGTTAACTTCAGCCACGTACATATTTTAGCTTTTTTGTTTTATAACTATTCAAATTACATTCTCTCTCTCTTCAGGAATTGCTGCTGTTTATATATTTTTTATAATTTCCTCTTGCTTACACCATATAATGTATTGTCTTAGTTCCTAACATCTACTTCCTTTTTCCCTGTGCTTACTTGATGAAGTGGCTCATGGTTATTTGGTGCGGTTATTATTCATAGCGCGAGCAGGTGGTGGTCTATTTACATAGTTTCCTAGTTTATAACCACACAACATGCACATATTCTCTTAATAAATATTTCAAGCAATATATGTAAGCTTTTATCACCTTAGGGTATGAAGATGGTTGTTGGTTGAAATATTAGGAAGTATTTACCATACTGTTCTTGTTTGAATGTAGCTAAAGTCAATATTATATAGATTCATAGATAATACATTTAATTTGAAAAGTAACCATGTGTCCGTATTTCTGCTTCGGTTTAGTTCACTCCTTTTGATGTTATATTTATACATGGTAGACAAATCAATACATAATGGACAATCAGTACCGAGTTGTGAACTATATATTAAACCCACATCCTCCTCATGAGGAGGGTAAAGATGCCAATATGGCACTTAGGAGCTGGGATAATGTAGACTACTATAAATCTCTGTAATTAATTATATTTTGTTCATAATCCTAGTAAATAACCTCAAGAACATCACAAATGTAGGCCTGCTGTGGGAAGTTGTATATTCCTCACCCTTTTTAAGTGGATGTTAGGAACAATATTATTTCATATTATTTTTAAGTCATCATTACACTGATGTATTTCTTGTGATATTGAAATTTGTCAAATGTATGATTACAATATATCTTGCCCTGAGAATCACTTTCTCTGGTGTGCACTAAAGCAAGCTGGGAGGCACGTGCCTACCATGACTTACATGGGATAGTATTAAATGCATACATGGATTCAAGTGTTCTACAGGAATCCATCTCTGTGGTCCGGTTTTCATCTCAGTATTAGTTATGTTAGGTATCACTTAAGGTTTGGAATAGTTTCTTCTTATTGTTATTTTGTCATCTATGTTCTCCATTTCATTACATTTAAATTTTAAGTATTTGTGTTTCATTAAATATGTAAGCTTGTATGAAGCATCCTGTTAATAATTTGTACTGTAAGCTATGTTTGTGACATACTTCTGTCAGAGTGTCGTTTACACTTGTAATTGTGTTCTGGATAAACCCAAGGAACTTGGGTTTCTTATGTTCTTCGACTTCATCTTGCCCAGTCATCTCACAGTTGTGATCAATTCAAGGACTCCTACCTTAAATATTCAAGCATTAAAGTAATATTGTATTTCTTTACCAATTTTAAGGGACCTTCAAAGAATTTAACATTACTGCTGTTATGTTTTTATGCATTTACAGTGTTTAGCGGGATGCTTTACCCAGATCTGTAGGAAATTGCAGATGGGATGCTAATGTTTCGTTTTGTTTAGGCTGGAGGGGGAATAACTCACAAACTCTCTGTAATTTATCTTGTGATAGTATCTATTAGGCACACTATTGCTTTACTAGAACTGGAATCATTTTTTTTATTAATTACTATGTATAGTTACCAGCTCAGTTTATAAGATTATTTATATAATTATAACATTTTGCTATGTTATTACATTTTGCTATATTATTTAGTACAATATTTTTATATTTAATAGGTGCAGATTTGATTAATGTGTTGGCCAGATATGGAAGCATGGAGGAGTTTCTAGTGAATGTCATTAAGCTGCTTTAACCATTACAGATAACATTTGATGACTGGATAATGTTATTACAATCCTGTGCCATGTGTAAAGTGGCATGAGTGGTATCTCCTCTTCATTTGTTTATTTTCATATTCTCTAGGTTATTATTGAATTTTAAGATAATTTGTAATTTTTTAGTCATATCCAGGAGCTTGCCTGTAATTTTCCTATAAGAATATATTTCTGAATTCTCAAGTTTTCTTGCCATTCACACATCTAATAGGTTTAAATATATTCTCATAAATCAACATTTAATTATTTTGTTTTAAATCACCATGTTATTTTTTCAGCTTTGACATTGGAACATCTCTGCAAAAAAGTGGGATTCGAGACCCAGTAGCAGTACTCAAAACATTGCCAAAGTTACATAATAAAATATTAGAGTGGAAAATTTTATGTTCACAAGTATCATTAAGAATTTAAATTTTGATGCACAGAGAAATCATATTAATGTGATGTATCAATGAGAAACCTTCTGGGAGGAGCCCTTTCAGCTCCCCGAGCCATCCGGGCTGATATCGATGTATTAGACCCTGGCAGCAGTCAAAGTGAATGGAGTTCTAGGCCTACCAGAGACCATGAGCCAGAACCTGACCCCCCTCAAATTGGCACTAGGATCAATGGCCTGTAGAAACCCCCATGTGGTTGGAAGCATTCTGTGTCTGCCATAGACTAGGTCAGGCACCCAGAAAGGTAGGCATCCCAAAACAAACCCTATCTGGTTAAAATATTGCTACTGAAAGCTGAACTGTTGGACAGAACTTCCCCAAAAGAAAAACGAGCAAACAAGCATGACGTCACAACTGTAACCGCGCCGCTGTCTGCGCAGCTCCCCACTCCCCGGAGGGGAAAGGGGGAGCTGCCTGACTGTGGTCTTGCCTTCCCGTTTCTGGGGGGTCACGAGGCGGTTGCTCGAGGGTTTGTGTGGGATTTTTTCAGTAGCAATATTTGTTCTGGTTCCTTCAGGGACATCCCTTCCGCCTCTCTCACGATCGCTGGGGTTGGCCTCCAGGTACCTTACGTCGGCTTCCTCTTCAGGTTTTTTGGGGTTCAATGCCTTGGCGCCTAACCAAGCTCTTGCTCGATGTGGTAATGGACACATTGTTCCTTGGCTGGTTCTTTGTGACCAGTGCTCACCAGGCCGGCCTGAGGTGGTAGAGTCCGTCCTTCCGTTGGGCCCACAGCACAGTGCGGGTGTTCGCGGCTGTGTGGATGTCGCTTTGGAGGGTTCGGTTTACTCGCGAATCGACGATCCGGCTCCATTCGGACTGCGCCCCTGTGGGTCATTGCCTGAACTGTGGGGGTTCGATGCGGTCCTTGGCTTTTTGGGGTTGGTCGCTCTGGGTGACTCGTCTGCTGAGTTCTCGGGGTTTGGCTCTCATAGCGATTCATATTCGGGGGATGTCCAACGTCCTGGCAGACAACCTGTCTTGGTTCATTTCCCTGTCCACAGAATGGTTGGTCAACGCTGGCTCATTCAGTTGGCTCTGCCTAATGTATGGGCTTCCTGAAGTGAACCTCTTCGAGTTGTTGTGGTTGCGGCGTCTCCCGTTATATGTGGGCCCCTTCCCCAGCTGCAAGGCTGTCGGGGTCGATGCCGTCAGGCAGGACTAATCAAGGTGGGTTACCTGTACCTCTTCCCCCCAGTTCCACTGTTGCTCCAGATCCAGCTCGTTTGGAGGTTTATCAAGGGATTGTAGTCCTGTTGGCCCCCTTGGAGGCTGGCCCAGCCTTGGTTCAGGCGTTGCTTGCTTGGTGTCCGAACCTAGGGGTCTTTCTGTGGCTCCACCTCTTTCAGCAGATCGGGCCAGTCCGTTACGTTGCTGATTTGTTCTTCTCAAGTCTTTGTGTCTGGTCTTTCTGACGTGGGTCTATCATCACTTGTATGGTAAACAGGGGGGCTTCGTTGATAGTGTCCCACCTGCGTGCTTCGTCTCAGCAGCAGTATGAAGTTTCCTGGCGGTTATTCCGTTAATTCGTAGTCCTCCGAAGGTATTCTTCTGTTTCGGATCAGGTTGTCTTGTCCTTCCTTTCGTGGTTGTTTCAGGACCGTCATCTTATGCCGCATACTGTTGCCTCATATCATGCAGTGCTGGTGGAGCCACTTCAGCTTGCGTTCGGGGTGGATGTTACTTCTGCTCCATTCCGCAAGCTGTCTCGTGCGTTGTTTCACCTCCACTCTGCTCATGTACCACCTGAGCAATTCTGGTTGTTGGACCAGGTGCTCTCCTTTCTTCTTCTCGGTTTGTTGTGTCACCTTCTGTTCAGGATTGTTTGGCAAAGGCTTTTTTCCTGTTGGCATTGGCCTCTGAGGGCCAGGTTGGGGAGCGTCATGCTCTTTTCCGGCACAGGGGTTAATGCTCTTTTGGTCCTGGTGGTAGGTTTGTTCGTTTGCAGCTGTCTCTTTTTCTGGTGAAGAATGAGACTGCTGCTTTCCATAGGGGTCCTTATGTTATTGATGCTTGGTTGGTTTGGCTGGGGGATGCATCATGTGTTGTGTCCGGTTGCAGCTCTTCGCCGTTACCTGCATGTCACGGCCTTGGTGGCCGGGGACGCGCTTTGGGTTGACCCGGTTCCCCTTCTTCCCTGTTTCCAGGGTTCAGGTCTCCAGGTTGTCTACAGGATTATTCGGCCCAGCCAGCCTGCGATTTATCCTCGTGCCCATGCTCGTGTTCATAAGTTTGCTGCATTGACTGCTGTCTTTGGTAACATGTTTTAGGATGACATTTAGGCACGGGGGGTTTTTGGAGGTCCAACAGGGCCATTTGCTACCTGGTCAATGTTCCTGGCCCTAGTCGGGCATGTGTTGCATTGGGTCGGTGGTTGCAATCAGTTGTCTCGACTTTTGAGTTGAGGAGCAAGTGGCGACCCCCTCCTGGGTAAGTCCCTCTTGTTTTATCTTTGGTTAAGTAGCTCTGGGGGGAGCCACAGGGGCTCCCCCCAGAAAACCAGCATTGAATGTAATGAAACGCCATTTTCTGGCTGAGACCTGGAGGCTTCCTGGCACCCCTCCCTCCCTCCGGTCAGCAGTTTTTCGTGGGTTTTGACACCCAGCCTCAGAACTGAAGATGTGCAGAGCAGGTGCTGGTGTCTGGGGCTCCCTCTTCCCCTTCCCAATGAGTGAGGGAGCGGTGCAGTTACGGTTGTGACGTCATGCTCGTTTTTCGTTTGGGGGCGTTTTGTCCAACAGTTCGGCTTTCAGTAGCAATATTTTAACCAGATAGGGTTTGTTTTTGGGTGCTTACCTTTCTGGTTGCCTGACCCAGTCGATGGCAGACATAGAATGCTTTCAACCACACGGGGAGGGGGTGGTTCTAAGGCTATTGCTCCTCATCCCTCTCTGAGGGGGGCCAGGTTCTGGCTTGTGGTCCTCGGTAGGCCTAGAACTTCGTTTGCTTTGACTGATGCCAGGGTCAAATACATTCATATCAGCCCGGACAGCTCTGGGGAGCCTCCAGGTCTCACCAGGAAAATGGCGTTTCATTACATTCAATGCCGTTTTTTCTAGTTACTCCCAATGTGCTTGGGACTACCCAGAGCATAGCTTCGAATCCTCGTCACGGCTCCTACTGATTTTCCTACTTTTTATTTTATTGGTTTTATATTCTGACCACAACGCACACGATCATATTAAATGAGACCGTAATGGACCAATAGGTGCTATGATGTTCTTAATGCCCCCAGCCCACCTCACCAGAAAAGTGTTAAACACAATGGGGAAAATTAGTTGGATGCTGATAGATTTAATAGGTAAATTATTCCATTTTACAAATACTGTACTTTACTGCAGAGAACAGAATTACTTTCTACTCTATAGCAAATTCTTCAAGTAGCAAGGGTGAGGGGTCGTGTGCTGCCAGTGAAGATTTTTTATAATATTCAAAACTTAATTGTACAATCAAACCAAAAGTTTGTGTATTTTTAGTGTACAAGATTACATTTACTGCCAACTATTTAGTAATCAATTCTTTCAATTTCCTTGTTCTTGTAATTCTTTGAATAATTAATAATTTTTTAGATTTTACATAAGAAATCCAAAACTATGAACGCATACATACACAATAAAGAGCATTTAACTTTACTGTAAACAAGGATAGATCTATATAGTATAGTACAGTACTGCTTTCGTAATTAATATGTCCCAAAAATAGCCAAAAAATCTGGTAACAAAAAATTCATAACTATTTTCATAATAACTTCTTAACTGTTGCATTCTGCAACGGTTACATAGGGTATTACTTGTATGAAAATATAGATACCACAAAAATAGTGTTTAAAACAATTCTTGTCTTCCTATATTGTTAAAAATTATGCTCTGAGCATAGATAAAATGTCCTCAAAGCTGTAAGTTATTGTTCAAGATGGCAGGTGTTTACTGGAGGACTCAAATACAAATTGGGAACACCATGTTCCAGCAGAAGTTTTAAATGTTGCAAAGTACCTAAGTCATCTTAGGATGTTGTGCACAACATTGGTCAGATATCTTTAGACGGTATGCACCCTTCAAAGGTTAAAATTAAAACTCCATTTGCTACCATTGGAGAGGTAGATTATTTAGCTATTATGAATATATCACCATGATACTTTTTTTCAGTTTTGACACTGGAACATCTCTGGAAAAAGTGGAATTGGAGACCCCAGTAACAGTACTCAAAACATTGCCAAAGTTAGGTAATCAAATATTAGAGTAGAACATTTTATGTTCACAGTCATTGAGATATTTTTATTTTAGTGGTTTAATTTTCTCACTTCAAGAGTTAGGCAAGTGACAGTCATATTGCAACTGTAATAGACCACCGAGTGCTATAGTGTTATTAATGCTATCCCATTGCACCTCAGACCTGGCTATTTTTTCGCTACTTTGCCTCTCTCAGCAGAATGGCCTGACAACATGCTTCACTGGTCCGACCTCCTCTGCACTGTGTCTCTGGAGTTTTTTTACACATGCCTATCACCATTTGTATGGCGAGCTCATGGCTGGGTTAATGGTGTTCCACCTGTGTCTTTCTTCGCAGTGACAGTATAAAGTTGCTTGGTACTCGTTCACCTCTTTCTGCTCTTTGTTGCTTTCTATTTCAGTTAGGGTGGTCCTGTTCCTTTTGTTGTGGTTGTTTCTCAATCAGCATCTCATGCCAAATACTGTCACCTTTTATTGTTCAATGCTGGCAGAGCTGCTGTTTTTTGCATTTCACATAGACCCCTCCTTGGTGTCATTCTGCTAATTGTCTGGTGCATTGTTTCACCTTTGGCATACCCATGCTGCTCTTGAACCGTCCTGGTATCTTGACAGGGTATTGGCATTTCTCTCCATGCATTAGTTTACAGTTTCCCCGTAAGACTGGGTTGTATTTCTTATGACAATACAGTATTTTTGTTGATTCTCGCCTACTACTGTCCTGAGGGTGAGCTTTTTGCTCTTCTTCAGAGGCAGGAGGTTTTGTTTTTTTGGCTACAGTGGGTATTTTATTCGTTTGCATCCTTCTTCTTTTCTAGCAAAGAATAAGTTGGATACCTTCTGGATGGGTCCTATGGCAATTGATGCTTGGTTAGTGTGGCCAGGGGTGCATCATTGTTGTCCTGTTACAGCTCTGCACTGCTACCTATGGGCTGCCAGTTCTGCCCAAGTTGATGCATTGTGGGTTGATCAATCTATCCTCTGATCCATGATGTTCACGAGTGCCACCTTGGCAGTGATTTTCCAACGTGTCCTGAGTTGATACTCATACTCAGAGGGATTGGAAATCTAATGGGTCTGGTGGCCCAGTATTTGGTTAATGTCTTTAGACCAAGTTGGTCATGCTTTGGGTGGTGTCTTCTGGCTTGGGATATTTTCTTTGTCTTAGTACCTGCTGCCTCTCCTCCTACCCCTCTGGTATAGAATATAATGAAACACCTCTTTCTGGTGGAGCCTGGTGGCTCCCTGATTCACTCCCTCTCTTTCAGGTTCGTCAATAGGTTGTCCATCAGTCTTAGAAATGATCCAGAAGAGCTGGCTGTGAGGCAGGAGCCAGGCCACATGGTGGCATCTATTGATACTAATGGGTTCAAGTTAGTTTTGAGTTAGTTAGTTTAGTTCATTTATTATGCACCCCATACCCATCTTGTGGGCGGCAGTGGAAAGGGTTACAGAGGCACATAATGGGCTCAGGGACTGAACCCCACAATTCATTTAGCTAAGCCTATTGTTTCATTTGAATTGTTTGCAGTGTCATTTCATGGTTTCATTCTTTGCAAACCTTGCAGTTGTGTGTAAAGCTACGCTGACTTTCTGGATGCTTTCCAGGTGAGTTGGTAGATTGTCCTTCTCCCTGTGTGTAATTACCTAAGTGTAGTTACAGGGTGAGAGCTACACTCATGGTGTCCTGTCTTCCCAGCACTCTTTATCATGTAACGCTTTGAAACTACTGTCAGTTTTGGCCTCCACCATCTTCTCACCTAACTTGTTCCAACCATGTACAGTACCACTCTGTATGCGAAAGTGAATTTTTTTATATTTTTTTGGCAGCTTTCTTTAGTTAGTTTAAATCTATGACCTCTTGTTCTTGAAGTTCCAGGTCTCAGGAATGCTTCCATCAATTTTATATTACTATTTTGTACGTAGTGATCATATCGTCTCTTTTTCTTTTATCTTCTAGTTTTGGCATATTTAATGTCTAACCTCTCCTTGTAGCTCTTGTCCTTCAGTTCTGGGAGCCACTTAGTGGCATGTCTTTGCACCTTTTCCAGTTTGTTGATGTGCTTCTTAAGATATGGGCACTATACAAACGCTGCATATTCAAGCTTTGGTCTAACAAAACTCGTGAACAATTTCTTTAGTATTTCACCATCTATGTATTTAAAAGCAATTCTGAAATTAGAAAGTGAAGCATAGGCTCCTCATATGATGCTCTTTATTTGGTCCTCAGGTGATAGTTTCTAACTAGAACCACCCCTAGATCTCTCTCAGAATTATTTAAAGATTTCTCACATAATCTATAGGTTGCATGGGGTCTATGTTCTCCTGTTCCACATTCCATAACATGGCATTTATTCACACTGAATTCCATTTGCCAAGTGGTGCTCCATACACTAATTTTGTACAGTTCTTCTTGAAGGGCATAATAATCATCTAAGTTTCTTATCTTCCCTAGTATCTTAGCATCATCAGCAAACGTGTTCTTATAATTCTGCATTCCATCTAGTGAACATTACCGGTGCAAGAACTGAACCCTATGGTACTCCACTTGTGACAGTTCTCCAATCTGATACATTGCCTCTGATTACTGCCCTCATCTTTCTGTCAGAAAATTTTTCATCCATGTTAAAACCCTACCTGTCACTCCTGCATTATGTTCCAGTTTCCAGAACATGTGCCTCTGTTAGGGTGCCAGGTTCTGGCTATGATCCTCAGTAGGTCAAACAGAACTGGAACTGATGTGACCCATTAGAATGGAGTAATCTCAGGAAGATAGTTATTTAGGAAGCTACCAGGGCTCTACCAGAAAAAAAAGGCATTTCATTATATTCAATACTGTTTTTTTAAATTGTATCCTGAATGTTTTGGAACTTTGTAACATTGAGTACTAATCTTCCAGGCCTGATGCCTTCTGATAAGTATTTACTGTATTTTAAAATGTATTACAGTACTGTAATTATAATGCCATTAAACTGAATCATGCTGGTCACCCATGTCAAACTAAGTTTATACTTGGTCAACGAAGTGATTATTTTTTTTGCCATTTATTTAAATACTACAGTATTATATAGAGTAACATGAATATTATCACGTAGGAAAAATAAACGCACATTAAGCCGCAAGAAATATTGCACCTAATATCATACTGTACGGTACTTTGCAAAATATCCCCGAGAAGCTTTTATTTCTATCACTTGTATGTTGTTTCTGCAAATTATCTCTATTAAGTAATGCTCTGCTAGCCTAAGTATCTTTCCAAAATACCTGGTACACACTAGATATAGAATTCCTTAAACCATTGCAAACTCATGCTGATGTTATTAAGCAGATGAGAAGTTCATATAAGTTTGCATTAAAACTATACAACAAAAACGTTTCTATACATTTTTGTAGCACCCAAAAGTGTGGCAAACAATCATATGCTAGTCCTAGAATTTAAACCTAGGGAAATTTACCTGAGGGCCACCATCTCTAGTGGCCTTGACAGGGACAGCTGATTTTAAAGTGCCCATTACATAGATAAATATTAGTAAAAAATTACAAGAATGGTTTTAAATTTTATTTCATAATGATACTATAGTACAAGTAAAAGTTTAAGAGAGAATAGTAGAGGAGCATCAGTTATGACATTTTTATTGGAATAATAATGGTAAATATTACAATATGTATAGCAATTTACAGTAGTGTATTAGTCCTCATTTCCAACAATGTTTATGATACATTGCCTAAACAGGTGAGGCTTTGCTAGGTCCCTTCCACTGTCGTTATACTCACTCTTATAACTAATCAAGAATTTATTCTTTCCACAGTTAACATCTGGGAGTATTAAATTATCTGGCAGATAGAACAAAAATGGGGAGGGGGCTATTTATATGGTATACGAGCTGGAAGATGAATTCTTTCAGTGGACTGGAATTAGTGGTAAATAAGTTATTTCTGTCTAATAGTCACATTATTGCTTCAGAACTTTGAAATGCAGTCCTTTCTATATCACACAAACCTTTCCGGTAAGGGTAATTCCAATTACTAAGAGGGTTCTCCAGTAACAAGTAGGGGACTTTGGGCTACTCCTATAATTCTTTGTTTAGCTTTTCCATCAGAACAGTCACGTGCCTAACAAATTAGCTTCATGTAGGTCAGTTATTGAAACCTATGCAGCTTGGATTTGTCTTGGACTTCTCGTCTGCTCATACATTCTCAACTGAGCATTCTTTTATCTGCAATATTATGCTCCTATAGAGCATTTCTGCTTGAAAATAAACTCTAAACTATATCTAACTTCTCACTTTTGGCTGTTCATCAATTCAAAATTTCACCCTAAAGATGCTTTTTTTTTCCCCCCTCCCGTTTTCACTACTGGTCATAAAGTTTAGTAAGGTCCACATACATACGGGGATAATTATTCATTTTACCATCACAGATGTAAGTATTAATGTAAGCAGTAATTTTGAATAAGATCTAAGAAGTGTAAAACTTTAAGGCTGCAAATACACTGGGATTAAATCTGCCCATTAACAGGTTAAGTAAAGATATGGTGTAATGCTAAAAATGGTTACTAGTGTTAAACACAACTGCTATTATAACACACATCTCACTCCACTAATTTCTCTGTACTTATTATTTATTACTGTATACTCTAGAAGATAAATGTGATAAGAAACAGCACAGTACTGTACCAGGCTCCATGCCATCTAGTGGTGACTTCATATCCTTACTGCTTCAGTATCATGTGCTGCATTTTTGGGGGGAATTATGACAAATGGTGGTGATACTCATAAGATCTACAATATTATTTTGGTAATAAAATCTTTTCAAAATTATAAATAAATAAACAATTTCATCGTTTCAGTATTGATTGTTAATTTTATTTTAAACAGGCAGAACAACAATTTTTGTACATATAATGCACAAATTTATCGCATAAATATTGATACATTTGCTAATGTAACATTAGTGCAACTAGTCACTATTACAAGTTATTCAATTTTACTTATTTGAATTATACTTTAAAATAATAAAATAACTGGTTACAAGTACCAACTGTAATTTTAAAAACTTTATAATAAACATTTGGTTTGAATATTCAGTACAGAAAGAGAGCTTTCAATGATGGCAGTTTCCCATGTACTTAGTCATAAGCAAAATGAGTGATCAGCTGACTATTCTTGTTCTGTTAACAGCTCATCTTTATATACCCGTAAGAATGGCACCTAGACCGTCATCATTCAACTTGGGGCATTCATTGCTCTTATTCATTTTTTATTAACAATTCTTGTCTTTATCAACAGCCAGACTGGCCAGTACACTGTGTTGCAGGCTTCACAATACGACCTGTGATATCTCGAGGCTGCCGAGGAATTTGAACTTCATCATCCTCATCACTATCTGAGTCTATATTATTGTCAGAATCACTAGAATCTGTGTAGACACCTAATCCAGGCAAAACAGCAATACATTGAAAGCCAGACTTTCCAGTGACTGGATGGACTGCCACAGTGTTTCCTTGGCTGGACAACTCTGAAAGATATAGAATAAAATTATGCTACAGCAATTCAATAAGCCATGTATAACCTTAATTCATGTACAACTTTAGATAATGTGTAAACAGGACAGATACTGAACTAAAGCTTTCTTTGGATTCAGTTCAAATTTCATGCAGATATTTAAAATTATTTTGTTGAACTGTCAAATCAATAAAAAATTATTGTAATAAATGCAATAATATAAGCAGCGAGCATAGGTTAAAATTAGGTATCATTACTGCCCCATTTCCTACTTCTGCGTGGTGTGAAGCATCAGCATGAAGAAATAAGAGTAAACTGGAAAGCAAAATACAAATATCCAAAGAGAGACTTCAGCCATTCACAATATCTTCCACAATACATGTTGCAGCATCATGAAGAAGCAGCACTTGCTACAGCAACAACCCTCAGCTTTGTACAACCTCCTGTGCTTCCTGAGAGTTGTCATTAATATGCAAAATATTCATTTCATTATCAAAATAGTTCTATCTAGCCTCATTTCTCCACCACTTCTCAAGTTCTGTTCACACTTGATCATCATTCGATATGATCTAGCCTGCTCTCCTCAGTCTTATGCTATACAGATTTTTGTATTCTACATCTTTCTATAACATTTTAATTTCTCAAATATTTCTAACACCATAAATACATTCTAGATTGTCCATTTCTACAGCACAAACACACACACTTTTATATGATCAAGTGACACCAGCATTACACACATGCAAATAAGGATAGGTCATTGCTTTGATGCTTTCAATGCTCCAACCATTTTATTTCTTGGTTTACTTTTCTTTTCATCTCTCCTACACAAATTTCTCTCGTGTAAACTACAGAGCCCAGGTATTTACACAATTCAACCACTTCAAGGATTTCTCCATTAATCCCTATTTTACATATCGAGTTTCTTCCTCTCCCCAACACTACTGTATTACTGTACCTTGGTTATGTTCACATTCAGAAGTTATCTTTCACACACTGTCAACAAAACTTAAACTAATCGGCATATATTCTTTTCATCTACTAGATGAATGCCATAATCTGCATAATTACATTGGCAAAACTTACTACAATGCCACAGTGCTTGAATGAAGGACAAGATGCAAATGCACTAAATAAATAAATAAATAATATATATATATATATATATATTTATATATATAACATATATATATTTATTATATATGCAGTATATCGTAACGCCCCGTAACTCTGATGCTCTTATTGGTCACCCGGATAGTATCACAGTGAACCCCTGGAAGAACGGCAAGCAGTTGGTACGGGACTACACGTGCTTATCAACCCTGGCTAACACCTACATTGACCTCAGTGCTGCACAACCAGGGGGCACTGCCACCCACAGGGAAGCAGCCAAATCCAGAAAGTACTGTACAGAGAACTGGTCACCACTACAATTTTGTCCCCATTGCTTCTGAGACACTTGGCGCCTGGGGTAAAAGTACTACTAGTTTTTTGAAGGAACTGGGTTCTAAGCTCACTGAAACAACAAGGGGACCCTAGAGCTACCAGCTTTCTTTTCCAGCGCCTCAGCGTGGCGATGCAGAGGGGAAATGCACACTGCATTCAGGGGTTCCTTAATGTATTTCATTTTATACAGTACCTAAAAAGGTACTGTATAAAATGTTCTGAACAAGATTCTACAAGTTTCTGTTTATAAATCTGGCAAAGTGCCTCACTTGGTGCCCATCATTGGATGCCATTGTGATTATGCTCCACAAGGACATCGCAGTTTCAAAAGAATTGTCAATTTTCCTGATTTATGGGAACTGTGGACAGGGTACCACGGAATCATTATCCCTACTCTGGATAATTCTACTATTTAATAATGGTAGAGTTGTATACAACTGCTCAAATATCAAAGATATGCCTAATAGGAGTAATTATAGATTCTATAAGGACAGTAAAGGGCAATAAATCTTTTAGTAAAGTGGATCCAATTAACCGTAAAATTATTCGTAAAGAAGCAAAACTAACTAATCACATTAATTCACATAAGCTCAGACCTTGTGATGTGCAGAGCAGGGATAATGATTCTGCAGAACATGTTCCCAGAAATCAGGATATTTGGGCGTTCTTCTGAAACTTCAACGTCCCGAGGGAACACAATCACAACATCTAATGAAGGATGCCAAATGAGGCACTCTGCCAGATTTATAAATGCAAACTACTTGAATCTTCTTCAGAACATTGTATACAATACCTTGAGAAAGGATGTAGGTTTCATCCAAAAATTTGAATTTTCATACATACAGTATATATATATATATTTTGGGTCTTACCTTCACATTCATACATTCTTATCTTGGCCCAGTCATATATACATTAAACGACAACTATGGAGACATCCAACAACCTTGGCATTGTTGGAGGTGTACGCAAAGTCATTACAGGCAGCTGTTGTCTTTATTGATGCTTGCAGTGGTAAATATTGTACATGTCAAGACAACTAGACTGGTTGAGCATAGCAGGCATCTTGTCCTTGTTAACCTTTATGTGACTGTGTGAATGCACCATGAAAAGCAGTAGCAAATGCAAACAAGCAGTCTCATCTCATCTGAGCATGACAGCATCCAGGTATCCAGCATTAATCACCTACACTCTATAAGCTAAAGTAACAGTGGACTATGAAAGAATAGTGCACGCTAATCAAACAAAACACAACCAGATGTAAACAAACCAGAGCAAACACATGTGTAACACACACAGACCTGAAACACAAGTGAATTTTGTATACAGATGGACATGGATTCACTATGTACTAAGAAACTAATTTTCCAATACATGAATAAAGCATTCAGCATAATTAAATTTTGTTTGTCTTCACGTGCATGATTAACAGTGAGGTATGAATGTAAGGGGGCTTGTTGAGGTGAAATGTGTTATAATTTAAGTGCTGCCGTCTGGTGACAGGAGTATGAAGCAGATAAGACAACTACAAATTTGTTATGGCACTTTTTTGTAATTTTAGAATTAACAAGGAGGACTTGAAAATACTCTTTTGAGTAGATTTGAGCTTTCTACAACTCAACTCACAGCCAAGTGATTTCCTCCGGTAATCCTTAGTACTAGTAAGACCAGTATCAGTGTAAAAAAAAAAATCATACTGTTGAACTGTTCTTTCAATTTTGGAAAGGTAGCTGAAGCTACAACACTAGAAGTCAATGAATTAAAGTTCTAATAATGTGAAGTGACACATGAGAATTTAGGTTGTAATGACCATCTAAAGTGACTCGATGATGCAAAGTCAATGTCTACAAACCAAATATTAAGGAAGATAAAGATGTAGTATCAAGGATTTTGTAATTCCCATTTATATACTTTAAACAAAAAGCACATACATTATAAGGTAGAAATCACAAGAATAGTATAGTTCACATTGGAGCATATTTATTTTAATGAAAAGTCTCTCAAGCTTATCTTCACCAGTATACAAATCATAAACACATCTTATGCTAAACTCACCAGATTTTGCCTTTTTGGATTCACCAGCCTCCTCTGTGTTCTTATCATCATCACTAGTTTTTCTTTTTATTGCTCCTGCCAAGAGGGTAACGTGTGATGTTTTCTTACTTCCTCCAGGGTTTTTCCGCAATTCTGAGACTTTCAATTCTGCTCTTATTTCTTCTTCAGCAATATTTTTTTGCATGGCAGACACTTTTTTCCTGCGTGAATAAAGAAAAAAATTTGGCAAATACAACTTACTGTTTCTTTCACATTCGAATATCATGTTGCCTATAGTCCATTACTTCACATGCTGACTGTCAGCCAGTACTAGTACTGTACAGTATATATAGAATATAAACTTCATTTCAGATCTATCCTTAAGATTAGTAGTTGCCATTTATGCATTGTAATATTAAGAGACAAATTGCCAGAAGGCATGAGAAAGTTTACATAATTGAAAAAAATAAGAGATTATTGTGGTGCTGTACAACTTACACGATGTGATGTTTCCACGCAAATACAGTACAGTATGATTGATGCCTAGTATATTTTAAATGTTAATTTAAAATTCCTTTAAAACAGTATCTGAAAAGACATGTTTGGAGAAAGAGGGAAAATTTACACGAGGCTAAACCCTAAATAATGAGAGTTCCCAGATGAAACATATGAAAACAGATATTATGCATGTAAAATGTTGAACAGCACATCCAAGTACAGCATTAAAAATCAATGTCTGAATGGCTAAAGACTAGCTGACAAACTATGGTTTTTGAAAATAAAAAATTTAAAAATCTAAAAATGTATTTTCTATGAAAGCTATGTAACCTGTATTCAGCCATGGCAGTGTTTTCCTCAGTGCGAACTCGTATCTCCTCCTGTAGCTTGCTGCGATCAACAAGTTCCAAGAAGTCCACCTCGTCATCTTCAAGCCCTCGCACCATGTTTTTGAATCTGTAAATATTTTTTTTTTGTATTGGCTATACAGAAATATGATTATTTGCAAACATTCAGTAAGAATTATCTTATAAGAAATAAAATAAAAAGAACTGCAAATATACATATATATTCTTCTTAATTTACTTAATGATGCAAATGAGCTTAGTATAACACCATTATGTGTGTAATTCGCAATTAACCTTCAGTATTAGCTAATACAGCTGTAGTTACGTAATAAGGTACAGTACCTCCATTTGTCACTAATGACTATACAGTACACCAATTTACACAATAATACTACAAATCTCTATGTAAGTGACACTACAAGTCTTCCCAAATATTGTACAGGCAATATACAATGTATTCAACTCAACTGAGGTAGTACTGTACAGGCAATATACAATGTATTCAACTCAACTGAGGTAGTACTGTACAGGCAATATACAATGTATTCAACTGAAACATGCAACACCAACTTGTGAGCTTCATCATATTCTTCTTGCTTTTTTTGACGCTGCTCTTGAAGACGTTCAAACAATGGGCGAGGATCTGGAGGTGGTTCCTCGGGAGCTTCCTCTGGATCATTTTCCTCTCGAGTCTTTTCCCAGTTCTCTTGCCTAATACGTCGTCGTTCTTCAACATCCTTCTCACTTATAAAGCCACTACTCATTTTTCTGCCTGAAATTTATTCTAGACTTTATACTTTGTAATTTGCAATCTGCATATATATTACAGTACAACTTTATGTTTTATTTTAGTATTGCACATGCAAAATTATAATGTTTTAACAGGCCAAAAAACATTAAAAAGAAAAAGTTATACAATGTCTTTTTTTCTATTTAAAAAAAAAAAAAAGAGTGGCTGTACAAGAATGTAACAACTCATGTGTGTGTGTGTGTGTGTGTGTACTCACCTAGTTGTGTTTGTGGGGGTTGAGCTCTGGCTCTTTGGTCCTGCCTCTCAACTGTCAATCAACTGGTGTACAGATTCCTGAGCCTATTGGGCTCTATCACATCTATATTTGAAACTGTGTATGGAGTCAGCCTCCACCACAACACTACTTAATGCATTCCATTTGTTAACTACCCTGTCACTGAAAAAATTCTTTCTAACGTCTCTGTCCCTCATCTAGGTACTAGGTTTCCACCTATCCCGCC